TGACGAATATATTTATGTCAACGAGAGCGTCATTTGTTTCCGCGACGGAGCAGTAACCGGAAAGAAATTATGATTTGACTTTTCTTTTTTCGTTTTTTGAATACGGAGGTTGCCATCGCTATGAATTCACAAATTCCGCTATGGAAATTAAACCAATAAAATCGAGAAGTCGAGGTGAGCTGCGGAAGAGGGGTGTGTCATGAGAAAAGGGGGAGGGGGAAGGGGCTGAGTCTGATTCTTGTGCCAACAACACGATGACAATCATTACCTTGTTGATATATTTGCCACGGTTATGTGTTACTGTGCGAAGGCAAGGTGGGTTAACTTGTGAAAAGGTGTTTGCGGGAATTCTGTTGTTTTGTTTATGGTAGATGGATTGATGGCCTGGATTTTGGATGATTTATGGACCTGATGGCACGGCGTGATTTTTGTTTTTGTACTGGACGAGGGAAAGGATGACATTTGAAAGTTCATGCGCGGGAGCGAGAGGAAAGCGAGAGAGGGGATGCGGGATTAAAATTATTTGAAAAGGCATGGTGAATTGGAGGTTTTTAAATGTCTGCTCAGGAGGGAAAAAAGGAAAACGAAACAGATCAGAAATAATGATTAATTGAGAAGGCCGTAAACGAATTTTTAAAAATATGTATAGTTCCATGCAAGACTCATCATGAATCAATCAGTGAATGCTCTTTATCAGCCAACGAACTCAGTGTCTTTGCGCAAAGTGCTGTTTATTCAAATGATTTGCATTAGTTATTTGTTTATTATTACTTGTTTATTGTTCACCCATTCATTTATCTACTTATGGCAGTGGATACGAGATGTGACACAGTATCTTACCTAATTAAGTATGGTCATAATTTCTCGAATGAACGGGACTTATAAAACCCCTAACAGGCATTTTTTGGCTGCAAATAATATAATATTATGAGGTAAAGTATTGTTTTAAGCGTAATAACTAGACTGTAGGAAAAATTATAGACATACCAGGTTACATTCAGCAAAATATGCGAATTTAAAACTATAATAATTGTTACGGTTTCCAATATATAACTAAATGAAATATGTTCTGAATTATATTCTCAAAATATCAATACCAAAGACAACATCAAATTTCGAATATAGAGCTTAACGCACTTACGTTATCATCAATAGTAGAATTTCCTTACGCACCTACCAGGTAAATGGAGGAATTTCCTAACTTTAAGAACTTCAGAATTTCTTCAGAAGAAATTTTCGATAAACATTGCTCAATTTCATTTCGTCACCTTAAGACGACCGGAGAAATGAAAACGCGAAGACATGTAAATTTACCAAAATGAGTATCAAGATTTCGGACAATGCCTTTGTGACGTCAGAGGAGAGTGTGCTTGTCGAGTCTTTTTTTTCTTTTCTTTTTCTTTTATTGTCGTAGGTTTTGGTGTAATATTTTTTTTTCTCCTTTTTTTTATAATTAGATTAATTTAGGCTTTGCTTATACAGCGGATTTTTTTTTACCTATCGTTAGGTAATGAATAGATTTTTTTTTTCGAAATTCATCTCAGCAGAAAGAAATAGGAAACGTGGATAGAAAAACGAATACGAATTTTGACTTGTATGATAACAACGTAACACAACACAATATTACCACAATACGAGCTTAATTATGGCTATACCACAAAATGGCCTTTATCACTACAAAACCACAAACGAAATTGGATTGTATATGCTTCATTTCATTTCAGACATGTTTTTTTTTCTTAATAAGTGATTTATAATGACGTATCTGTTTTATAATTTGCAATAACATTTTTTTTTATCCCCATGTTGGCTGATATACTACAATAACCTACATCCTTTTTCATGCTGTGACATCTATCCTCTGTTATTTATACTTTCATCTTTCTTCCATGCTCTTATATCTGTTACATCATTTACATATTAATTACACTATTTTACTGACATTTTTCCTCTATCATTTGTATTTGCTCGTGTTGAATTGTTAATGATATATATAGTTAGCACATCGTGATATACAATGCGTACACATATATACTGTATTTGTTGAACACACACACACACACACACACACACACACACACACACACACACACACTACAGAGGCGACGGTCAATGGGCGCTTAAGAACGCTAAACTGAATGGAAAGGTGAAATAAAGTGATGACTGTGATAACAAAGATAATGATAATGACTGATGATATGAGGTCTATACATCAGTAACAGACAAATGACCAGTTATCATGTGGCAGTGACCTCGGATTTTCATCTTTGGAAACTGATATGAATGATAAGGACACACAATTTTAGGACACCGTGTTTCTCTATAGCGGCTGGAACAGACAGAAAAACACACACATACATACAACACGAATACAGACACACACACACACACACACACACACACACACACACACACACACACACACACACACACACACACACACACACACACACACGCACACACGCACACGCACACACACACACACACACACACGCATACA